AGGCCAGTAAATCCAGAGTTATGATAATATATAGAATCTACACTTTTTTCTAAATACTGTCGTCACATTTTTGTGTGTGTGTGTGTGTGTGTGTGTGTGTGTTTTAAGCATTTTCTAAGGACAGTGCGAAAACAGTAAAGAAAGGGGAAAAAAACTCTTCCCTATCAGTGGAAAAATATACCATGTTGCGCAATTTAAAAAACAAAAGTCAACCATATATAACCACCTGCATATGTGTAAGAAAAAAAGGGCTTCAATTTTGCCACCCCATTTGATTTCTTTGCCACCCTCATGCCACCCTAAGAAAATTTCTCTAGATCCGCCCCTGCTTACAGCCATACCTGTACGTTTATATATATGTGGGTTAGAGTTAAGCTTCTTCCACAAACACCAGAGCAGGCAGTATCCACATGATTTCTGCACAAAATCTGAGATCTGAGAAGAGCTAATCAAAATGACAACAAGCCAACTGCTGTTTCCTGGCAATAAACCAAAGAAGTTTGAAGTAGATTGGCTCAGCGATTGTCAAGGAAGGTCACAAATAGATGAACAAAGCTTTTGTGAATTATTAATACGAAGAAAATGAAGTAGATATTTTTGGATACTCATACAATTTCATTTAGACACAGTCACACCTCTAATAGATTGCTTTTTTTCTTTGTCATACCTGCCTCGCCAAGGTAAGACAAGATCAGGGTTGAGCTTGCGAATGAAATACTCTCCTCCCGGCTGTCGCCCATTGTAGCTTTGAATAGGTGTGTCATCAGCAGATTCCTCTTCCAAAAAGGGTTCCTCTGGTTTTGGCCTCATCATGCCAATGTATTTAGGCAGGAAATGTATGAACACCTGAAAAATTAAATGGAGGAATTCAGTGGTTTTCACAGAGGTTTGTACTTTTGTTTGAAGCTGACCCGACTTAACCCAAGCATAAATTACAACTTTATAGAAGGTATCTGTTTTACTCTGTGGCTTTACATGTAATGTCACTTTTCAAACAATGAATTCAGACAAACTACAATCAACAACGACTTCATTTAACACACTTTTGCAAAGTGCCTAATAATAGTCAGCAAGAGTCAGCAAAACTTCTATTGCTATTAGATTGTTAACTTTGAATGTCAACACTCATTCACTTGTAT